ACTTAGAAAATTAAGTAGATTTTGTAAATCATATGTAACTTGATTACAACTATAGTTAACAACTTAATAAAGTTCATAATGTGACTATCAAAAGGAAAAAAAAAAAAGTAGAGCATTGTTTTCAATTGTAAAATATTACTATATAGACTAAAGAAAATCTCTTAATTTGCATACTTTAGAAAATATTTTACTATTAAGAATAAATAGTAAAATATAATCAATTTAAGATATTAGTTAAATTAAATAATAATATATTGTACATATTATATGGTACTATATTTGTATTTTGCAGAATTTAATTTTATTAGGTTAAGATTTCTAATATACAAGTTTTATACAGGTTGATGATGAGACCTTTTTTTTTTTTTATACACGTACAGTACAACATATGACTGCTATTTATATATATAGTATTGGTATACAACAATATTATGCACAACAAATAATTTATATCAATTATTAAATTTTTTTTCACTAATGATACAGTATTTAAAAATCAGATATATATGTAACGAAAAAGAAAATTGATTTTAATTGCAATAATTGCAATTATTATCTCGTCATTAATTGGGTTTCAATTAATTGTGTGATAATTTTAATTAATTTTAATTGATGACATGTAACAAAAATTAATTGTCAATTAATTTTTCAGTAGGTCTGATTACAATTCTATTTTAATTGATTGTAGTAAATGAGCACAATTACGATCACTAACAAATAGCATCGAGGACGATGCTTGAGAAAACTTCAATTACATCATATTTTGCATATTAAATTTTAGCTAAAATTTTACGTAATTATAAAAATTGTTGTGCACTATTGCAATCACTAATCACACCAAGGTTGACGCTTTAGAACACCTATTTTCACGGCATTACGTCATCGTAAAAATATCTTCAGAAATGCTCACGGGTGAACAATAGGGGCCGTGGAATATTAAAGAAAGTTTAATGAGAATAAAGTTTTTTTTATTAATGAATTTTATGTATTAAGGTTTTAATTTTTTTGTGAAGAGTACCGTAAGATAATTGTAGAAATATTTAATAATAAAGAATGACGCATGTTGACTAATCATTGACAAATTATGAGATTGAAGTCGAAAAATGGTCATTTCTTATTTCCTTTATATGTATTTCATTTTCTGTTGATAAAATCTCTTTAATGGAATTCAATATTAAACTGTCTTATATAGTGCTTTTGTACTTTTATTTATTAAAATGTACTGTACATTCAGCTTTATCGATCCAAAAGCTTCATATATTAATATTAAATCCATGAATAACGTAAAATACTATTTATTATAACTAGTTTTACAGTAACTTCTACATAAGAGAATTGTACAACATATTTTTTTAACCAATTGTGTTACTAGATAGTGATACAAAATTTGTAGCACACATAAATGCAGATTCGGATCTTTCTTATTCGAAAAGCAAAAAAGAATTCAACTCAACTAAACAATCTTGGATACAATTATCATAATGGAATTGGAGTTGAAAAGGATGAACATAAAGCATTCATTTATTATCAAAAATCTGCTGATATGGGTGATGCTGATGGAACATATAATGTTGGTTATTGTTATGACGAAGGAATTGGAGTTGAAAAGGATGAACATAAAGCATTCATTTATTATCAAAAATCTGCTGATATGGGTAATGCTAGTGGAACATGTAATGTTGGTTATTGTTATCGTTATGGAATTGGAGTTGAAAAGGATGAACATAAGGCATTCATTTATTATCAAAAATCTGCTGATATGGGTAATGCTTCTGGAATATCTAATGTTGCTAATTGTTATCGAAACGGAATCGGAATAGCAAGAAACTTACAAAATGCAAATTACTGGTATCAAAAGTAAATATATTATTTTTATTCGAGATCTGTTATTTTTTATTCAAAGCATTATTTAAAAGATTTTTAATATAAATTAGGGAAAGAAATAATCTATTAGGTAATTTAAGTATTTGATTTATTTATGTGCTGAATAATTCAGAATTTAACAGCTTGATTTTTTTTAGTTACAAATAAATGGTTACATGAAAATTTTGATATCGATAACAAATTAAAAAAGGTGTTACTTGAAAATAAAAATTCATTATCATGGATTCCTTACAATAAATTTAGAAATATTAAAGAAATAGGACATGGTGCATTTGCAACAGTATATTATGCTATATGGAGTAATGAATATTATAATAGAGACCAACACGTTGCACTTAAATTGCTGCATGGCTCAACAAAATATCATGATGAGTTTATAAGAGAGGTAATTTAATTTTGATATCTTTTTATAATTTATTATATAAATATTATTAACAACAATTTAATCTTAAAGCTGAAAGCATATTGTGATATTGGATATGATAATCCATCATTTTTAGAATGCTATGGGATATCAAAACATGATGTTTCAAATGATTATATACTTGTTATGGGACATGCAACAATGGGTTCCTTGCGTAAAAATCTTTACTCTATAGCACAAATGGAATGGAAAGATAAATTAACGCTATTACTTTGCATCATTTCTGATCTTAAAGCTATCCATTCGAAAAATATTATTCATCGAGATTTACATAGTGGTAATATTTTACAATCTACTTTAAGTAGTGCATATATTGCAGATTTAGGACTTTCAATATCAGTTAATATTGAATCAAAGATGGAGTCAGATAAAGTTTATGGAATATTACCATATATAGATCCGGAAGTTTTGAATGGTAAACCATATACTGTAGCTTCCGATATTTACTCGTTTGGCATAATCATGTGGGAAGTTTTGTATGGAATGCCTGCGCATTGTAATAAAAAATTTGATTCACAACTTCAAATTTTAATATGTATTAATAATCTGCGGCCAGAAATCGTTGATGGCACTCCAAAGTGCTACTTAAACTTAATGAAAAAATGTTGGGAAAAAGATCAAACAACACGTCCATCGGCATTAGAAATTGAAAAAATTTTTAATGAATGGCAAAATAATGAAAAAATTTTATTAGAATTTTCAGAATCAGAAAAAATAGCAAAAAATACACATAAGACAATATATGATGATACACTTTACAAAAGCAAATTTACACATTATACTTCATTTTATCAAGGTAATGAACTAATTTACTAATTTTGGTTATAATCCTATTAAAAAATTATTAAACTTTATTTTATAGATAGCGACTTAAAGGGTTTGCATGTTGAATAATAATTACATTCACTTAATAGTAATTTTTAAATGTATACTAAGATAAAGTTTATTTATCACTTTACTGCATTGATTGATTTAGTTATTTCTCCTTTTTTTTTTTCTTTAGTTTGTCATTTATTATTAGTCATATCATTGTTATCTTGATTTTTTTTAAAAAAATTAGTTGATAGCAATGTGAATACAAAAAACATCTGAAGAAATAAATTTAAAAATAAATAGAATTAAAACGTACCTTATGCGATTGATTATTTCTAAAATTTTGTTAATGCACAATTAATCTATAGCCGAAATTAATAACGCACTTAGAAAAATTATACGACATAAGTCGACATAATACTTAATTTACCAAAGATAATTGTTAACTTTAAATTTAGGGAAATTATAGGCATCTCTCGCGAGAGATAAATCTCCTGTGAGAGATACATCTCTCAAAAGTTTTTTAGGGTTAGGGTTAGAGCTAATATTTTAGCAAAATATATAGTGGAATTGCTCAAGGAAAACTTTTAATTAGAGCGCGAAAGAAGGTTTCTTATGCGTATTAGCATGACAGAACTTCTATTTTATTGGCTTCAAATATGCAATCTGTCGATCATGATTATTTGATCGTGATTGGTCAGTTAAAATTTCTATATCGAATATAATAAAAAAAAAAGAAAAAAAAAAATTTTTTTATAGAAGTTTTAAGTTGTTGCAGTTGCAGTTTCGGTATGATTATGATCCGCTATGATAAAACGTTTGGTATATTCGCTGTGCTAAAGTTATATTGTAATTAATCTTTCTGTATAACTAGTTTCAAGAGCTTTACTGTGTTCAAGTTGATAACGATTACCCTAATGATTATACTTTCCTTAATTTCCAACTATCATTAAATCCCGAATCCCTAAATAAACATTCTTCCCGCATAACTTATGTAACGCCCAAAGCTAATCCGCATAAGCCCATTTATCGCTCTCCCAAACCTGGGCGTGACACTATGTCTAATAAGATGCGTCGGGAGTTGGGAAGCCTGTGGGAAAGATGGGTTAGACGCGTTATCAGTCTAGATCAGAGGTCCAAAATTTTTTCGAGGATTACATTTATAGTTTAATATGTTAATTTGGTAACTAGAATTTAAATCTGGGGAATAAATGCTTGGTTTTGGTGACCGAATTTTAGCTAAATTTCATAAATTCGCCGTGATACCAAATGTTGGGTTAGTTAAAGATACCCGTGACAATATGTACTTTTGTACTGTACTTATCAGAAATGCATGTATAAAAGTTTACATGCAAAAATCGTATGATACGTACAAGATTCTTGGGTGCCCTTTATAATATAAGTTTTTAGCTTCTTCATAAATAATGTATGTACGAACCTAGGAATAAAACCGGTTTATTGAATTTAACTCCAAAAATTTTGCTTATAAGTAGACATATAGTCTAACTTCGCTTCACTGCTGAACAACATTTAAAATTTCAATTCCAATTAAAGTAATTTATTATTACTCTACACATGGTATTTATATATTTAAAGCATATCGCATATCATAGTTTTAAATAAGAGGAATTTTTATGTTTAAATTCCTTGTAAAATCTATACGAGGAAGAGATATTTCGATAAGTCATGTTTGTTTAATATAATGATAAGTAATTTAGCACATGTATCCAAGATGATTAAATCGTATGTTTCTCAAAAAAAAAAAAAAAAAAAGTCGAACTGCATTACCTTGTTTTATAACGATACAATAATAAAGGCGGAGTTTCCTGTTTTTTTTTGAATAAAAATACTGGTCTCAAAAAATCTTGTGCTTAGAAAAATGTCTCGTATAAACAGTAAAGATAAACGCAGAGTTAGTAATGTTCGAAAACGTGCGCATGCAGAAAACAATAGTACTACTACTAGTGAACAAGAAGAAACCCAACTTAATGCTAAAAGTTCAAATAATCCGAGTTACGTATGGCATCACTTTACGGTTTTAGAAGATAAGGTTTATGCTCAATGCCAAATATGTGATAGAAAAGGAAAAAGTGTAAAGTATGTATTTCATGGCACCACAAGCAATATGATATATCATTTAGAAAATGAACATGGAATCACGAAAAAAAATCCTACAGGCAATGTAAGTTTTTTTTTTTTAATACTGTATAATTAATTAAGAAAATTATTAATAGTAAATAAATTTAGGTGGAAGATGGAAATATTGAAGATTTTTTTGAAGTTGCTCATGGGAAGGCTGCCCGCAAAAAACAACCAATTATTGAAATCGCCATGTTAACTTGGATGATTGATGACTGTCAACCACTTTATCTTTTGCGGTCTCAATCTTTTAAATCATTTATGGAAGTAGCATTGCCTGAATTCAAAGTTCCAAGTGATGATAAAGTACGACGTATGATTATCAATGCATATACCCAATCGACTAGGCAACTTACAGAATTATTACAAGATACTTATTCTGTTAGTATTACTACAGATCTGTGGTCTTCACGTAATGATGAACCATATATTGGAGTTACAGCCGGATGGATAGATTCTAAAGATTGGTCATTAAAAGAAGCGTTACTAGCTTGCGAAAAAATTAATGGAAAACATACAGGCGAAAATATTAAAAATGCTTTAGAGAAAGTAATTGAACGGTTTCAACTTAAGCGAAAATTAATTGCCGCCACCACTGATAATGGCAAGAATGTTGTAAAAGCTATCCGATTAATGAAAACTTCACATGTGCCATGTGCTGCTCACACACTTCATTTAAGTGTAACTAAAGGTCTCAATGCTACTGGTGCATTCAAGAAACGTGTTACAAATCTTATTTTATTTTTTAATGGTAGTCCTAAAAATACAGAAAATCTTAGAGATGCGCAATGCAAGTTAAACTACCAAAAGGTGTATGAAGTTCTTTTGGATGTTCGAACCCGTTGGAACTCGACGTATATTGCATGGAAACGTTTACTTGAACTAAAAAATGCTATACTTTACCTTGTTACTATTTTAAAAATTTCTTCAGAGAAGGATGATAAAGATGACGCTGACTATTTGGAACAAATTAATTTGACAGAATTAGAATGGAGGTAATTTTATTATTTCATTAATTTGATTTTTATGTTTTTATGTTTTATTAATCAAACTATTTTATTTTTATAGTTTACTTTCAGATATGTTAACCGTATTAGCACCTTTTTATGAAGCAACAAAAATGCTATCAGGAGTTTCATATGCTACGCTTAATATGGTTTGCTGTACCATGCATCATCTTAAAAAAATCGTAGCCCCACCAAATGATAAAAATGAAGACTATTATGTAGAATTGTTGTATGAAGAATTAGATATAACTGCAAGTCAAAGTTCGTCAATTAATATGCATTCAGATGATGAAATTTTTGATTTGGCAGCTCGTGCTAATCAAGCTCTTAATATATCACATGGTCGTGTTCAAAAACATAAAAATATACCCGTTAATAGTCAGCAAAATTCTGATCCACGGTTTAAGAAACGTCGAGCTATTGAACCACCAGTCACTATTATGAACATGTTAGAACAGGTTAAAGCTACAATTTATCTAAGCATGTGCCAGTATTGGGATGTTCCAAAGGAAATTACTTTACTTTCGGCATTGTTAGACCCTCGATACAAGAAGCTTAAGTTTGTTACAGAAATTCAACGTAATATGATAGTTGATAAGCTAAATGAGCTATATCGAATTGAACAGGCTATTATTATAGAAGAGTCGAATGATAGCTTATATAACAATTTACCTAAGTTATCATTTACAAATAAACTATCAGATGTTAATCAAGTTAACTATTCTTTACTCGGACTATCTGATGATTCAGATGAAGAAGAAAGTAATATGTCAAATGAAGTTATTCGTTACTTAGCTTTACCAAAAGAAGCTCAGGAATGTAATATACTAGAATGGTGGAAGGAACGAGTTAATATCTTACCAGTTTTGTCTAAATTAGCAATGAAATACTTATCAATTCCTGCTACTTCTGTACCAAGTGAAAGGTTATTTTCCGATGCTGGTCTTCATTTATCTGCCCGTCGTTCTTGCTTAAAGCCGGAGTTGTTGGCATCTATGTTGTTTTTGAAAAAAAACATGAAATTATTTGATGTTTTTAAATTAGAAGATAAATGAGATTAGGAATTTGATATAGTTTACTCGGTTTTTTTAGTAAAAAAAAATTTATTGCATATTGTGTCTTTTAAATTTTTTTAAATAAAAGATCTTGAGTTTTTTTGATCTCTCATTTATAAGTATGTTATCATAAAGAACATAAATGGGCATTGCCCTCTCTACCATCGAGCACCCTACGCAGTCTTTTTGAACATCGTTTTTTTTTTTTTTTTTTTTTGACTATGTATTACTTTGTTGTCGTCTCAACAAGCTTCCTACCTATGCATATGACTGTCATCCCAACAGGACACAATTTATGACTGCTGTCCAGGGCACAAAATTTCCGAATACCGGAAGCTGCTTTTTCTCCGGCGGTGTTTATTTTAACCGGAACTTAGAAAGGATGTAGCAGTTTTTTAATAATGATATTGTAATATTTATTAATATTTATATACATACGTATATATGATATCATATT